TATAAGCTACTGCATCATAAAAACTTACAGGTCAAACCATTTTTCACACTTATTTTTGCTAGTATATCCACATACTCGTTATGTTCGAGACCGATATGTGCTTTAATCCATACAAAATTAATGTTTTTGTTAACTTTTTGCAGTTATAAAAACCGGTTTTTAATTGCATATATGATATAATTGGAGGAGTAACTTGGGTATTTGGCCAAAATCAAGGAATTTAAAACAGACAGGGAGTTCGATATAATCATTCATCAATCAATTGTAGACTGTGATAAAAATGTTAATGCTTCGTAGATTGCAATAGCTTCAGCACTAAATATAGAAAATTTGTTATCCAGTCAGTAGGAATAATTAATATTTTTGGACGGAATATAAAAAGCACATCGTTATATATTGCCACAGATTCGTCGAAGCTTGCAAGTATTGAGTATAATAAGTTAATGTTAATATGAAAATTATCGCTATATGAAGGTTTTACATTCTTTATATTTAGAAACAATGCATTGTAATCATAAAAATCCAACAAAATTGAGCTGGGATCATATAAATCACTAAGGATATCTAGATTAGATTGAAGTGCGATACATAGTAGTGGAGAATTTTTCTTCGACCAATATTTATTAGTCAAATCTTGTTCATTTAATACTACTATATTTGAATATAGATTACTGTTGGTTCTGGATATTTTAAGAAGAAATTTGTCTGCAAGGAACTGCTTTGTGTGATTTAAATGAGGCTCAATAGCTTCTACATGAAGAGGTTCGACTTGGGTTGTTTTCCTGTGAGGAGGTGGTCGTTTAATAATTTTAAAAGGTTTATATGTCGGAATGGATTGAGAAGATGCATTATTAATACTTTCCATTAGAAAGTCATATTTCTCTGAGGTAGACAAGCTGTCCGAATAGTTAAGAAAGTTTTGTTTAATCAGATCAGAATATTGGGTCCAATTAGCTTTAATAACATTCTATTTGGACTTTGGAAGAATGTATTCATTACTAGAAACAACAGAAGAAAAATTCATTTGAACTACATAATGATTCGATTCCAATGTGTCATCGAAGACGTCCCAAGTAATTTCTTTTGCTAAATCAGGAGAGCACAACGTAATATCAACACTAGATTGTGTTACATCCGGGCGGGTCAGACAGGTTGCTTAGCCATTATTAAGAACAACTAAATCAAGAGTATCAATTATTGCATTAATAAGTTATGGCCCAATGCCATCATTCTTAAGTGAACCCCACAAGCTGTTATGCGCATTCATATCACCACCTATAATGCAAGGAAAATTAAATTGTTCCAAAATTTTACACCAATCTTTGGAAGTCGATCGAATAAGCAAAATTAATATCAAAGTTATTGAATTTTAAAGTGATTCCACAAACAAATATATCGTCATTAAAATTTTGTGTAATACAAATTTCTTCAAAAAGATGAATTGATTTTATAAGTATAGCCACTCCCGCGTAACCGTCATATCGGTCGCGACGAATAATCTTATAAGTCTTAAAATTTAATTGTTTGATCGGGTTTAAACCATGTTTTACACAACAAGGCAACATCAATATCATTTTCATTTAAAAAATGTGTTAAACTGTTTTTGTTGGCGACAGCAGATCTACAATTCCATTGCATGATTTTTAATATATTTAAGACAGAGAAAATTATGTAAACTTTTTTGTACCCTCCAATACAGAAGTAATTTCATGATTTATTATTTCATTATCTAAAGATTTCAAATCGTCCAATGTACGTATATTTTTAAAAAACTAATTACAAAGTTAGTCATAGCTCGAGCAATATCTTGGTTCTCCCTTTTTCCACGGTGAGAAGCGGAACGGGGTGGATTAGCAGGTAGAGGTTCAGATGGTCCAAATCTGAAGTTAAACATGGGAGGTGGCTGAACAGAGTTAGAAGATACAGCAGGAGAAAAATTGGCTTTCCTCTTTTTGTTAGGAATTGAGTAATTGTTCGAGTTTTGGCGAAAAGTTGGATTAAAATTGGTACTCGTAGCTGCATTAGAAGTAGATTGCGCAGATGTTAGGGACATTTTATTTTGTGTAATAGTAGAAAAATTTTTATCGTAGTTCGATAAAATTGAAAACTTATTTTGGCCTAGAGCCTCTGAATACGAGTTTTCATTAATTTCCTTGTCCTCGATAAAGGAAATTATATTTTTAATCATATTATTTTTAATTTTTTGTTGTTTTTAGGACAATTTTTTGAAACCGAAACATGTGCAGTACTCTTACAATGAATGCAACTAATGTCTGAATTTTCGCAAGAATGATTTTCGTCTTTATTCTCTCCACATCGGATACATAGATTTTGAGGACTTCTACACTGTTTTGAAATGTGACCGTATCTCAAACACCTATAACACTGAGTAACCCTACCTACAAATTGTTTGACTGGACAAAAAACTCGATTTATAATAACATACTGAGGCAGTATATTACTTTCAAAAGCTACAATAACAGTTCATTTTGCAACATACTCGGTCGTACCATTTTTTCAACTTTTCTATGCATTCGTTTAATATTTAAGATACGTGAAGGAGATTCAATATTTTCCTGTAAATATACAGTATCAAATTGAATATCAATATCCCGAATTAAACCCTTACTTTCTAATAAGTGACCGGAAATAAAGGCTTTTAAATTTTCTTCCTTTAGTTTACAATTATTTATAAGATTATTTTCATCAAGTATAGAAGCTACTACCACCTTAATTAAGTTACTATCAATTCCCATTACTTGAATGATATTAGAAATTCCTAGTTTTTTTGTACAAAATATGACCTATTGTAATTTGATGTAAGCGACCAAGATCGGTGTTATCTATCCTTTCAATATACACAAAAATATTTTCAAGATTATACTTATCTGAATTTATGTTAAATCCTCTATTTTTTAACGGTACCTCGTTTTCTTCAGGCTCCATGACTTCAGATGACCTAACAATATTGTTAGAGGCACTTAAAAGCGTCCTTGAGCCAATTCCAGTCTCCATAGGGGACGGTAACAAATTTTTGAACACTATGCGAGTATGTTTTTATTAAACACTACATTTAAAAAAAAACTAGCCGAATAAAATTAATTTTAAATTACTCGGTATTCCTTTAAATTCAATGAAATAAACTTTAAAATGCGGAGAGTATTTAAAAATGCGTATCCACACTTTGACAGTTATTTGACACTTGTTTAGAATAGTTATGATTAATATTTGTTCTATAAGATATAAAACAGATAAATTATTTTTGTTTTTAGAGTAATTTTTGATTTCCCCCCATATTTGCGGTTACAGAGCACTGGCTTGAAGTTAACGAGCTTTTTTGTAGAAAAATATACCACAATTACTAGGTATGATCGTCCAAGTTCGGCTTATAATAGCATAGTACCTAGTACCCTAATTTGTCCTACAAATAATGATTTCTCTCCGGTAAAAAAATTTGACTTTCTGTTGAATGAAGTTTTTGGGTTTTCGTTAGTATGTAACAAGAATCTTAATAAATACATTTTTGCAGTTATAGATCACCTGATTCTTCCACGGAAGTATTTTTTCAGAACCTGCTAAATTTGTGAGATAATCTGCCCAATAAAAGCAGAAAAATTCTATGCGGTGATTTAAATATTAATTACCTTTTGATTGTTCTCCCCACCTATCAATCAATATATCGTCAATACATTCGAATCGCATGGTTTCACAATGCACGTTAATTCTCCTACAATAATTACTAAAACAACATCTACCATAATCGATTATATTGTCTCTAATTTCTCACTCCTTGATACACGCTCTACAATTAATAATGCAACTATAAATCTGATTTTGAAGCAGTATATGCGAGGTTTTACACGCAGCAAAACCCTCCCTAAAAACCCGACGTTTAGGTAGGATTCTTTTCGCTCACAACTTTCGTAAATTCCTAAATTTATGCTTGACTTCTGAGAGGCACTGTCCTTCTGTGTACATGGACCATAATTTCAGTGATTTTTTTAGATAGGCTTGTCTGTATTTTTAATAAGGCATTTCCTTTAATTACAATTAAATCAAAACATCAGTTGATTACCAAAGATATCAGCTTATCAGCCAAGAATATAGGTTCAATACTGTATATTAAGAAATTTACTACCAACGTCTTTGTCACTAAATATATCGCCAAATACAGAGAAACCTATCTAACAGCTATAAAAATGTACTGTCAAAATCGTCTGGGAAACTCTAAAAGCGTTGCAAAAGAAACTTGGTCCATAATAAACGATTTTCAAAATAAAACTAATACAGCTCAAACATTTTCTCTTCCAAACCTGAAAATCTAAATAAAGACTTCGTTAATGTGAGTAAAAATATATTAGCTATTTTGCGATAACAAGATCCCTTCCCCTATCTCCCCAATTAAAAAAAAGGTCTCGAATTAATTCTTTATAAGACCAGTTGATAAATCTGAACTAATCCAAACAATCAATAGTATCACAAGCAAATCTTCCTGTAGTACTGATGAACTATCCATACAAATTTTCTTACATCTTTTAAAAAATGTGTTGCATGTCCTGGTCTCACTAATTAATGATTTCTTTAAAAAAGGTATATTTTCAGAGTGTCTAAAGATAGCCATTAATATTTTTCTTCATAAGGGTGGTAAAAAATCGAATTTCCTTATTATAGACATATTGCCTTACTACCGATACTATCCAAAACTATTGAGAGACTTGAAAACAACATTTTATCACAAAGTCAGTTAGGTTTTTATTTAATAAATGTACGAGTGATACTATGTTTTCTGTACTACCTAAGGTCTATCAAGATATAAGCAATATTCTTTAGACTGCCACTGTTTTTTACTATACTAAAGTTTTTGATTGTGAAAATCACATTTTAATGAAAAAACTAAATTTCTACCAAATTCGAAGTATTTTTTGGTTATCAAAGTATTTATATATAAATCTACGGTAAGGCTAGATTAAAATGTTTAAAGTTAAATATCGTTTTTTTAGGACTCTGTTGATGATGAAGATCCACAAGAGACTGATGAGTTAATGGAAAAGGGTATTATTCCCACATCAACCTATTACAAGTTTTGGCGTTGTGGCATAGGATTATGTTTTTTAATATTTGTTTTCCTTATGTTCGTTATATCGCAAATTGTAACCAATTCTCTTGATCTTTGGGTATCCTATTGGTAAGAAGTGTACATTTTTTAAAATAATTATTAAGACTATAAGTGCACCATCAATTTTGTTAATGTATGCATGCGAAATCTGCTCATATTTTCACAAAACTCCCTTCGACTGTTTGCCTGTTTATAATTAAATGTTCATTAGTACCTAATTAAAAGTAAAAATAAAAAAATAAACATAAACCTCCAGTTCCAATTACAAGGTAATTAAAATAAGATACAGAGTGTCAAATCGGACACTATTTCAAAATTTTATTGGTCATATTTATTAAAATCTTAGTATATGGTAGCGTAATCTTATATGGAGAGAATTTCTCAAAGCATATTTTATCGAAATCCGTAATAACGTGGAGGAGGTTGTATATAAAATAAGTTTTTTTCCGCCATACCGTTAAAAGTGGTAGGAGGCTCCAAATATTTTAGAATAATTGGTCCTATTCAAAAATCCCACATTCTAAATTTTATACATTAATTATGTCACGTTTCTCCAAAACATCTAATTAGACCTCCCAAAAAATTACCCTGTATAATGGTAGTTAACTGTCTAATACGCGTACATTATCATTAAATCAGTTTATTCTTACAGAATCTGATTGAGTCATATAACTATATTTCTTGCATTATAACTGGTAGGTATTGTGCTAGTTTATTAAATATAAAATCATTTATTTAAGTGTATTTTACCTCATAAAAATTTCACTTCAACATAAAGTAGTTATATTAATACAGCAATGCTACATACCATAGAAACTCGTAACTTCGAATTAACTTGAGCGTCGCCAAGTTAGCAAACCATATCTCTCATCATATCAAATCGATTTACTATCGAATACCAACTTAAACTCGCAGTCCTAATTTGGAGTATTTATAACGACATGGTTCTGAGACAAAATGTCTACGAGGACTTGATGATAGCAACTCCTCGTAGACACTTTGTCTCAGGACCAGCAACTTCATGTATAAATTATCAAATATATAAATAAAAATCATACGTTGCCATGTTATCAAATCCACTGGTAACTTTAACATCTTAATATATAAGATCGAATAATGCGAACCAAATTTAAACCTATACTTTTAACGAGTTTTTACCTAGATATTTAGTGGCTCAAAACATGTACACCTAAACACTAATGATGGAATATGGATTCCGAAAACGTTTTGTTGTTGTGATATACCCCGATAGGGTTTTTTAATTACATGCCTTTTATAAAGGGTTTTAATACATTTTTTGTGATACATGGTATACAACCAGCTATAGGAACTTAGTTTCCTTGTGGATTTTAAAACATAATTATTGTAGATCTAGCAGCTAGTGAACAGTAGAAATTTGCAAGAACAGTATTAAAGAAGCAACAAATAATATCTTAGGACTTAAGAAACCAACCATAAAGCAATAGGTTCGATGCGGAGTGTGAGGACATTATCCAATGAAAAAATGAGGCATATACACTTATGTAACAAACAAGAAGAAAATGGAATATTGAAAATAATAAGAGAAATCCTATAAATTTTTTAATAATGCAAGAGTTTAAACCAACGCTGAGAATATGTAAAAATAGGGACGGACATTTACTCAATAGTATAATATTGGTGGTCGTAACGTTATAAACAGGCAAGAAACAATATACCATTAGAAGCTACCTCAATTAAAGAAGTACGGGACACTATAAAACATCTAAAAATATTAAAACTCCAGGATAACCGTATGCCTGCAGAACTTATTAAATGTGGGATAGTCTTACTAATCAGATACATAAAATAATAGTAAGAGCTTGGAATGAGAAACTAATCGCTAAGAGTGGTGTACTGGAATTCTTTGTCCGTTACACAAAAAGGGTAATCAATTGGAATGCAAAAACTATAGTAAAGGGTATAGCCGTTCTTAATACAGTATACAAGAGATTTTCGAGTATCATATATAGTTGTTTAAGTGCGTATTCAGAGGAGCTTCTTGGCGAATATCAAAGTGCTTTTAGGTCTGATCGATCAACAACAGACTAGGTTTTTCTGCACCATATCTTGATGTTTGTAATTACCTCTGAAAAAGAGAGTTACTCGTAAAAAAGTTATATTGTAAATTCAAATGGATTATAATACAGTTCAGAACGTTTTTGGACTAACCAGTCCATCTTTAGTAAGCCTAAAAAGCAAGTAATCCCATCCATTTAAGAAAAACGTAAGCTAACATTTTGACTGTTAATTGCAAAAATGTGGTTTGGATTGGATACTTGGATACTTGGATATTTGGACATACTTTTCGATTACTTACGTAACTAACTGCAAAACCAAAACAGTGGTTAAGTTTACATTGAAGAAAACGTACCTACTTAATAATATTAAATTATAAGGCAATATGCCGATGTAATTGGATCTCTAATCGGGAATCATGAGTCCATATTCGAAATGAAATTTCACTTTGTTTGCATAGTAAATATACTAAAGTAAAGTGTATAATTTAACAAGAGTTCGTGGTTTAAGAAGCGATGAGAGTTAAATGTCTTTTGTGCGATCAAAGACAACCGGGTTGTAGATCTCCATTTTTATTATGGTAACTTAAACTTAAACTAAAAGGCAAAATTTATCTCAATATGTTTAAAGTAAATTTACGCAATCTTCAGTGGTAAAATTTAAACGTACGAGCCTTTTCTATCACTTTGTAAAGGTGCCAATAATCACACATAATAACAATTATGACATTTTCTGACGGTCTGCTAAAATAAAACAATAAATATCTTACATTTAACATTTAACCACAATTATCTTCAAAAGTAATAACTTTAATTATAGAGAACCCTAATACTATTTAAAAGACCATTAATTTCTTTTTCATTAAACTTATAAAATGCAGAGGGTGTCTTATATTAATGATTGATTTACAGTAGTATAAAGAAATGGCGTATCATTTGTCAATACCTTGTATCTAGAAATTTGATTTCAAAGTTTTTTTTTAATGGCATAGGCAAGTGCCATACAGCCAGTCACAACATGAAAATATTCTACCCAGAAAAAAAATTGAGTAGTACAATATAAAAAGATAATATAAAATTCAAACTTAAGTATCCTTACAAATTTTAAGTATTAAAATTATTATTAAGGATAGGATAAGGATGAAACATGGACACTCGTTTCTCGTCTAGGGACCCATCAAGACATTGCTTTTAAGACAAACTAGATTAGGTCACGGATAAAAGGTAATAACAAATGGGGCAAAACAGAGGTTAGGATTCTAATTACAGTTAAATATTGAGCTTACTTTCGCAAATAAATTCCATCAAACATTCATTTACAACTCTTATATTTAGAGATAGCAGATAGCACATATTGTACGGAGGAAAAATTTTGATGTTAACTAAATTTTTTATTAGATCTTCAGTTTGTTTTGTGTATTTTTTACATTCGAAGAAAATGTGATTTAGATCCCCTTCTTTTTGACAGTCTGGACATAAATTTGAATTTACGATTTTTAGTTTGGACAGATGACTAGGATAGCAGGCGTGTCCAAATTTTATTCTAATTATGGATGTTATATACCTTCGTGGAACAGAATAATTTTTGAACCAATAATCACTTGGGATTGAAGGCTGTATAGAAGCATATTGCGAGGAAGAATGCTTACTATATATATGCCAAGATTGTTTCCATTTACTATTGATATTATTTTTAATTATTGTTAATGCGTCTTGTCTACAGATTTGGTGACTAGCTTGCGTTCCGGTATCAATGGCCTTTTTAGCTAATAGGTCAACATGCCCGTTGTATTTAAGACCTATATGTGCTTTAATCCACAAAAAATGAACAACTCTTCGGTTGATTTCAAAGTTAATTCCTGAAATAACGTTATCTACTCTTAGTGAGCAGGTTTTTAAGACATTAGTATTGTAAATAGATGAGATACTAACTTGAGATAATGAGATAATGATAATGAGATAATTACTCAAAAAATATGAAGTTTTGACCTATGGTACTTTTTACAAATTTTATCTAGAATCTTAGGCAGAACCTAAAAATCCAATACTATAAAGCATGTTTAGTATAAAATAACAAAGATGTTGTTCACTTACGGTATAACCGGAAGTGGTCTGTCTGTTAAAATATTTCTATAAGCTCGTCATGTTATCACCTTAAACCAATTTTCGTAAATATTGTGTAAGTAAAATTCCACGAGGAAACTAAGTTCCTGTAGCTGGCTGTATACCATATATCACAAAAAAATTTGTTAAAATCCTTTATAAAAGGTATATAAAATTGCCTCAAACGGGCTATCACAAACACATTGCAAAACGTTTTCGGATTAAACAATCCATCATCAGTGCAAACCTGAAAGTATATAACCACTTTAATTAAAAAGAACGTTAAATGAAAATGTTGACAAAGGTTAGAGCAAAATGTGGTTAATACTTACGGTTGTACATGCTAGTAGCCACCAAAATAGAGATCTTACCACCAAACCCAATTATGTTTCACTTCCTTATCACCATGAGAGTCTTTCTGGAGATATTAGAAATCTAATTAAACGTTCGGTTGAAAATATTCATGTTTCATTTAAAGTACCTAATAACTTGGGTCAGTACATATCCAATTCCAAAGACCCCATCAACTATATGAACCGTAGTGGTGTGTATAGATTAAAATGTTCTGATTGTGATGCTACCTACATAGGAAGAACACGTAGATCATTGTTTTCACGCTCTTTAGAGCACACAAAAAGAGAAAATACTTCCACTTTCTCTCAACACCTTAAAGAACACAACCACACTCTCAATATCCCAGAAGACGTCTCACTTATTCACAACATCCCACAAAAAAACTTTCTCAAATTAGACCTATATGAAGACCTAGAAATCATTAAAGAAAAACAGAGAAGTCCAAATTGTGTCAATCGCCATGTTTCATTTAATCGAGACTTTCTTCCGCTCCACCGTCAATTATTCTCATAACTTATTATCAAACTTACTTCTTCATTATCATTTAAATTCTCATCCTTCTCTTATCACCTACTA